CTCCCCCCGTATCGAACCACCTTGCATAAAATGCCAATAAAAATCAGAGCCTATAAGCACGTCAACCTCCAGTTGCTCGTTGTTTTCGGCGGGAAAATCTGCTAGAGGTAGCCCCTCAAGATGTCGATAATTGCTGGCAGCAAAATTTATTGGTTGGCTTTTCAGTGGAGAACAAACAATGGGTACAACATAAGCATTGACATACATATTAAGGTCGTTATAAGGACTTGTTACACAGAATTGCGTAATATCGCAAGTTTGTAGATTTCCTCTGTCGGACCCAAACCCATTTATCGTGAGAGTTTCTTGAGAAATACTGGGAAGGGCTAGAAAGTCCTTCAGCCTCTTCGATATGTATGACCGTTGACTTCCAGAGTCAAAAATCAAACGCGCGACGGTCCTTTGCCCGGGGTTTTCGGCCCTTGAAATATAGGCCTTGGCTGTCTGTAAAAGAACCGCATTTTTGCAGTCAACAAACATTGTAGTTGTTGCCTGGCCAACATCTCCTGTTCTTCTTTGCTGATGTGCTGCGCTAGATTGTGTTGGAATTATCGGATTAACCGATATTGCACCTTGGCTTTCATTAGCGCGCGGCGGAAAGAGTGCTTTGTTTTCGCAAACACTAAGATGGTGTCTCTGCTGGCAATTAAAACAGCGAATGTTACTGGGGCAATATCTGGACAAATGTCCTTTCTTTAGACAAACAAAGCAACGACCTTGCTTTTTCAGAATTTCCTTTCGCGCTCGGGTATCCGTAATTACGTTACATTTAGCAGAAGAATGCGAACTTTTGCAAAATGAGCAAGTAATTTGTGCACCATTATTCAAAAGTGCCGAGGTTGTATGAGTATTTCCATAGAAATGAGAATTTCGACTTCTTGAACTGCCCTCTTTTTGTGCAACATTGGATTTCTGCGAGGTTAATTGACCACATTGTTCTCTTGCCTCAAGCTCCGACTTCAAAATTTCTAAGACTGTTTCTACTTTCCAATCGTCTTTTTGGGTAGCTTTTGTAACTAATAGAGTTATACTTTCAGGAATTTTACTCATGAGCATGGGCATAAGAAGAGCTCCGTATTCGTTAAGATTTACTTTTAATGACTTCAAACTTCGAATGTTTACTTCTAATTCATCATACAGTTTTCGCAAGTTTTTGAGATCCCGTTCCGATGAAACTTGGGGCAGATTTATTAAACTTTCCATGTGAGCATTAATGATAATTTGTCGGTTCGCAAAACGATTTTGCAGAATTTCAATAGCTTCACCATAATTAGAGCCAGTAACTTGAATGCCTGATATAGATTTTGCAGCGGGACCATCTAACAACGACTTTAAATGTCTGAATTTGTTAGCCGGTGAGAGAGCATCACTTTTATGGACAATTTCGAAAGAGTCCCACCATTCAATCCATTTCTTCGGATCTCCATAAAATTTAGGAAGCTCTAGTTTTGGTAATTTCGCTGCAGAATCAACATACGAAGAGTTGGTAGAAGTAGATATGTTTGGCCGAGATATTTCCGAATTTGATTGGCTTCCATTTTCAAGTTTCAGACCTGACAGTTTATCTTCAATTTCTACTAATAAACCGGAGATATCAGATTGAATTTCTTCGCATTGAATCACTTCGTTTTCGATATCATCGTCCTTCGTTTCAAGAAACACCTCTTCGTCAATTTTCCTAAGAATGTTCGATTTTTCCTTTAAGAAAACTAATAGTTTTTGAAGAACCAAAATTGAAGGACTTTCGCTATATATTTCGTCCCTGGCATCGTTTAAGAGTTTACTAGTGTGCGCACGGTAACCAGCTCTAATTCTACTTCGTTTAGGGCGTTGAATTAATTCAGGTACGGAAGTGTCCGTTGCTTCACCCTCTTGCGACATAGTTCATAGTTCATGGCATGACATCAGATTTATGCAACGAGTAATAAAAATCCAAAAGATAAAGACAACAATTTGTAACTAAGAAAAGAACGTCAAACTAAGTAAACAGCGAAATCCGTCGAGGTTCATGGACCATTTAAGAAACCCCACTTAGAATCAGATTCAAGCGTAAACATAAACATAAAGAGCATAAACGCTGTAGGGTAAAAAGTACCACAGAGTGGTTCGCAAGAGTTAAGTTCTAGAGGACTGTATATATTCAGAATAAATGTAAGATAAATAGTTTGATAGTTTGACGAACGAGAGAAATATGGAAAGAAATCACCTGGTTGTCTTTAGAAATGCCATAAAATCATCAGAGAAACAGTACAGCAAGAATGATTCGAATAAGATTTAATCTTCGTGAGAATGTCAATACAACGACGTTTCGCAAGAGTTTGTTCGAATGAATGTTTTCAATAGTGTGTAGATACGTCTGTGCGCTAGCGTTTAGATAATAATAATAAGTTCCAATTTGCCACACCTATCAATATCGTAGCCTCGTTTTCATGGTTCGCTCACATTTACTGCCACTCGGCACTTGGTTACACTGCTCTAGATCTCGGTCTCAACATTTCCTATTTTGTATCTCACGTTATCTATTGTATCAACAGGGTACCAAAACAGCAGCGATCAGAACCATTTTCCCCAGCAAGACATGACGCCATCATCAAATGCAGATCATCACCAATCTTCAATTCTTGCACACTCTGCAATGTAAGTCATAATAATGTTCTATTTGTTTCTGTATATTGCAATTGTTACATGTTGCCCTTAAACTATTGATTGTGCAACACCTGTTTTTAATGTTCCTGATATAGCAGGACCCTCCATTTGTGCTAACCAATAAATGCCTTAGAAGTTACATAGCTATTTTAGTGCCGAGAAAGCTCATCATGTTTTTGTGATAGCCACAGCAATATCAATTTTTGCTTATAAACCACCCCCAAAGATCATCAAGACTTCCTTCTAGGTGGCGAAGAGATGCTCAAAATAGTCTCATTCCGTTGGCAAATTGACAATTATTCAGAATCGTTGTACAACATCTCCAATTTTGTCGGCAACGTATCTGTGGAGCGCCGATTTGGCGGACCCCTTGGTTCAACAAATATATTTCGGAATTTAATGCTGATCATTTTTTCGGCCCCCTCTGTTTGTTTGAAAAGGCCCCGCCGTGCAGGTTCACTCCAGTTAAAACGCTCCTGGTGAAACTTTCTTTAGTTTAACGCAACTATAAAAACGTAACATTTTGCCAACTTACATCAAAGCCTTCTGCTTATGTTGTTGTTAGTATCTAATTACAACCCACATACTTTGCTTAAATTCTGACTATCTTTCTTAAGGGCTTGTTAAAAGTTTCTTTCTCTCACCCTGGGGTAATTCGATATAAAACTTGGGCATTAATAAGGATTTTGATATCCACCATTTCAGATTTTCACGAAATTAGGCTCACCTACACCATACATTCGTTTTGATTTAAAAATACAGTTTCTAGTTTTCCATTTCCCTGTAATTGTAGCAGACATGTCCTTTGGTCTTTCGTTCTTCTTCTGACTGTCTGAATTTTAAACCCCCTGTGTCTGGACTTCTTTTAATGCTTTTCTTACAATGGTTCCCTTGCTGCTGTTAGCTCCAAGCGTGGAATTGTCATGCCTTTCGTCAATGGCTGCATTAACATACTCAGCAATTTTCTGAATCTCCTTTGTGGTAGCTTCATGCCCAAATACACTGCTTCACAAAATGCTTCTTTGCTAGCATCTACAAATGTATCCAACGACCAGGAGAGTCGAGAAGGGGGTTTGGAGGGGCAATAGGTCTGGGCTAGTGCTCCGATGGGGCTGTCAAATTCTTACGAGATTCCTTGGCAACGCTGCAAACCTATTCTCTCAGCTACTCCTATATTGTTCCAGCCTATTACTTTTCTACACACATTTTGTCAATTTTTCGAGCGACAATAGTGAATGGTGTTACTTCTCCTTACTGGTCGTAGATCCACAATAAACGGTCTATCGATATCTCTTACACTTTTTGTGCCAGTCATTTTAAATCGCTATGTTTTTCTTTTATCAACCTTTTGATCCAATTCTAATCATAAAATCTGAACCTCACGCCATGAAATGTAATATTTCGGGCGTTCATGAAATAATCTTCCTACATTCGCCAAACAACATCCAAGATTACCGTGTCTTGTTGTTGTGTCACATTTGGTGTTTACAAAAAGGCTTTTCTTGTTCAACTAGACTGTTAGCTTTAAGCGCCAAATGTCGTCAAAGAAGGCCGCCACCAAAATTATTTCATATTGCAGTTAACGATGATTATATATATTTTTGGTTATTTCTTGGATTAGACAGAATTATTAGTTAGCTATTTGGTGCGGTATTAGTAAAAGAGTTTTGATTGTGTGTCATGTCGAGAAACCGACATGTTTAGGAAAAGCCAGTTGAATCTAGAAACACGCAGTCCGTTTGCGACACGACGGAATCTGTTAAGATATCTTGAAGTGAAGCATCGCATCACCTTATAACAGCAACAACACCAACAGCCAATGCAACAGCAACAGCATTGACCGTAGCAAGAAAACAGAAGTGCCTTACTGATTATTTTTTGTCTGTTTGTTCACCTATGAAATTTTCCCGACTGTTTTTTAGGTTAAGTTTTCTGGAAATGCCAAAGGCAATCAGAGTACCGTGCAATGGAAGTTTAGTTGAAGTTTAAAATTAAGATCGAGTTGGAAACGAAACCATCAAACGTTAATCTGTCAGATAAAAATTGCTTGATGAATACTTCTTGCAAACAGTTTTTCAAATTGTTAGCAGGGGTTATTCTAATGTGGTTTTGTTACCATTTTGTGTTATTGTAAATTTGTTTCGTGGTGATGTGATTTCGATTATGTGGTGTAATAAAAATATCGACCATCTGGATTGTTTTTTTCGCAGAATGTAGGAATCGTTAGGTAAAACGAAAGGAATTTCAATTTCAAACACCAAATCAAGTAAAAAATCTAAAATAAAAGAAGAATTGTAGTAAAATGCCATTCAGGCCTTAATCTTGAATTTTTTAACTTTTGATATCGGCAATTTGTCGTCTTTGTCAAGTTCGTTTAAGGTAACACTCTCTGCATCTGTGTGCACCCCTGGCCCCTTGAAATGTCTTTTCCCTTTCTCTGATTGTTTTTGCCTTCTCTATTTCGATTTCAGTCATACGGACGAGGGTCCCACTTTTCAACTATTAGAATACACATAAGGCTTGAATTCTGTGTGGCAAAAGCGATCTTGCAATTTCATTTGTAACTGCATCTGTATCACAAGCTATTGCTAAATATTAATGAGGAACACGTCGTTCGCATCCTCGTGAACTGTGATTCCCTTTAGTTAATTTAGAGATGTGTCAGTTTCAATTCCAATCCCTCAATCAATCAAGCCAAAAAGACTTTTAGTTAGAAGGCATTGGTTTTTCATGGCATTGGTCCCCGCTTCGACATCAAGGATAGTTAAAGTGTCGCTTTGAATTAACTCAAATATCGCTTGATTGGAAAGGTTGTTCTTCTCTGTCAAGGACTTGAGATAGCCTTCATCTTTTTTGCTTTCGAATGGGTTTTGAAATAGATGGCTGTTGGTTCCAAGTTGTCAAATGCGAACAAATAAGCTGATAAAAATACTTTGTAAAGCTCACTTGAAAGAATTGTGTCGTTTGTATCTCTTGTATCTCTTGACTGCTGGCTTTTGATCTTCCACAACTTATCCTCGCTCTCATGTCCGATACCTCGCGATACACCTGGCGTGTGGAAATATGCATTGAATAAAACACCACCACCCTTTATATTTCTTAAATTTTTACGGTCTTCCGTGCTAGTATTTTTCAACCTTTTGATCCACGGCAAATTTCTCCTCGAAAAAATGTTAAAATGAAACTTAATTGCCTTTACATAATTTAAATTCGATCTCATCGAAGTGTCTTGAATAGCTTTCTCAATTAACAAAAGTGAAAAAAGTATTTTAGAATAAAACAAAATATTCTTATTTACACAGTGTTAAACCTGGGTCCTTTTTTTAGAGAACAATTGCGTGAAATTGGAGATTTTTTCACGGGACACCAGATAATATCTCACGGCAGCCGCATAGTGGTTTAAAAACAGTGTCCTTAGTCAAAAGAAGTTTTCCTTAGTCAAGACTTACTTGTTTTAAAACCAGTGGTTCTCAAATCCCCGTTGTTGCAGTTGCTCTTGTCAAGAGTAAAATTATAAAACTTGATAAAAAAATTTCAAGCCCTTTATTTGTGGTGTTGTAAATTTTCCCTAAAATAACCCTTGATTGTTAGTGTTAACAACTAGAAGGGGGAAATTCCTCTTTTAATGGAGACTACTTCTCCTTTCAGAAACACCTTATTTAACCGATTGTCTTAAGCCTCTGTCCAGTCCCTTTGTTATGCTTGTTCTGTTCGAGAGGTTGCTTGAACAGGGTGCTGATCTCTGCCATTAGTTTTCGCCGGCCTTCATCACACACGACTGTGTGATTCATCACTCATTCTTCATCATACATACTCCGGGGAATGAGAACGCCGGTTTAAGGTAACGCCCGTGGCAAATATACTGCAACCTAACTAAACCAGTGTATAAGGATTACGCCCACGGACTAGGACCACCATCAACCAGAAGTATTTGAACGCTATCAAATACTCGATGAACGAATGACCTGGTTTCTCATAACACATTTGGCTTACTCGTGGCCTTGCGTTTGTGTGTGGTTTTCTCTCTGTACTGGAAATTCCGCTTAACAAAAGCCTCATTTAAACGCGATTTGTCATATTATTGAAACTTCTCTTTTACAAAGAATCGATTACTTTCCGTTTTATCTTTACCGCCATCGCTTAAAGATAATAGGTCTTATCATATCGTCTGTCTTGTATCCTAGCAACTGTTGTTACATTGTTCTCTTTTCTGTAAGGTTAGAGAAACTAATTCACATAGGTACACGAATAACCATCCTCTGCGTAACATTTAAGATTTTTGGAATTCAACTTGGCGCTGTACAGATTCCCAAAACTTGTTGACGCGCGATTGGCCTCGTTTGTGCTCTACCTCGTATGTGTCAGCTGAATTTTTAAGTGTGAATCTTATGGATTTTTACGTTGCACAGTTGTTCAGTATCAAAGTGTATGGTAGCTGCAGGTTTGCTCAATACGTTATTTGTCTTCGAACAGTCGGGCGCATGGCAACCAATGCTATTGAATTATAAGGAATGAATATTCATAAGTTGTTGGTGCCCTATTTAATAGAAAACCGCACTCATTATGGAGATGTGCGTGTTTAGAGTGTAAAGACAAGTCGTATCGATTGGTCCGTCTCTATCGACATTTTACGCTCCAGGACACATTTGTGAATTTGACTGCTGTTGTTAGAGTGTTTTTATTGAGAAATGATGCCTGAGTATTCCTCGCAACACAAATGGTCTGGATATTACCTAGGTGCCCTGAGGTTAGTATCACCAACTTATTGTTTGTTTGTAGTCTTGTATAAGCAATTAAGCTTTGCGACGACAATGGCAACTATAGCACTGCTATAGTAACACGTTCTTGGTATGCATTCTTTCATGTGATCGTAGAAACCGACCAGCAAGATAAGGAGTATCTTGCAAGCAGTGGAATATCTTATCACAATTCCAGTCACTAGGAACTTTTACCGGCGATTTTTACCGGCGATTTTATCACAGTAAGCACAA